GTAGCTACGTCCATGGTGGGATTTATTGGGGGTGTTGGGCTACATCCGTTCATCTGTTAAACCATTTTCATTCCTGGTGGGGATCAGTATTTATATCTTAAAACAGTTTACAGATCAAACAACACTAAAACCAGGAACTCTCTTGGGATTTCAGCAGATGACGATGAGTTAGATTTATTCAGCTTTTTATTAAGCTACCAAGCACTGGCGTTTCAGAGTGTGCAGCTTCTTCTGTTAGCTATAGTTCTTGCAACATTCTCCAGGTAGAAAACCGTGTTATAAAGGGTGTCTCTGAAGAAATTACCCGCACAGTTTGTTGGCTCTGCAAATTATAGTACAGCTGCTGTGATGAGCTGATATAGAGGAGCTGCCACCCTGCTTAGTGAAAAGATAAACCTTAACATGTCCGCCATTCACTTAATCAGTCACAGCTGGAACTCGGGCTCCATTAGACTGAGCGAGTCATTTTCACGTATTTATTGACTCTCCAACTCCAGAAGTTTGCAGCTGATCTTAGTAAATCGAGCACTTTTGTCCTCCTCTTTTTAGAGATGCAGATGTGGGTTAAAGGGAGGCAACTCGCTGCAGGTGATGTTCTGCAAAAAGCAGAAAGAGTACATCGTCAAAGTGGACTGTTTTCTAAGTTTGATATGTAGAAATTTACTCTGCAGGGTGATATTTATATATTTATTTATTTGTTTTTCAACCAACAGCATTTTGTTCTGGTGAAATATTAAATTTCACCAGAACAAATTTAATATTTGTTGGTGTGTGTCAGCTGTGCCATTTGGTCAAGTGGCACAGCTGACCAAATAGCAATGAAGGAAGTGGGATTTAATTCAATTGTATTCATGCAGCGCCAAATCACAGCAACAGTTGCTTCAAGGCGCTTTTTATTGTAAGGTAGAGCCTACAATAATACATACAGAGAAAAACCCAACAATCATATGACCCCCTATGAGCAAGCACTTTGGCGACAGTGGGAAAGAAAAACTCCCTTTTAACAGGAAGAAACCTCCAGCAGAACCAGGCTCAGGGAGGGGCGGCAATCTGCTGCGACTGGTTGAGGTGAGAGAAGGAAGACTTTTATGACTAATATGTAATTATTTAAAGCACACAGGATACAGTGAAATGAATATTGGTACTGATGACATATTTATTTCCTCCTGGGTCTTTGACACTGCGAGTGACCTCTTTCATATTAAACACTGATGATGTAAGCTTTCATCTGGTGCAGCTTTGCATATTTTACATATTAATTCAAACATGGTATTAAATGTGTGAGAAAAACTGCAGCAATTTTCTAATCTCTCTGTTACAGGGTCACACCATTAATACAGCTTCTGTTTGTGACTTGTGGCTTAAATGCAGCTAACTCTCAGTGTCTTTATATATGTCTGGCAGTACAACTTCTGGACAGGACAGGTTAAAATTAATAAATAAATAAATGTATATAGGTGTACATTTAAAATCTTCATCTTTTAAACAGTGGATGGTGTCTTTAAAGAGATTTTTCATCTGCACTGGCAAAAAAAAAAAGCAAGGTAAAGAAGTTAAATGTCAAGAACAGTTATTGCTTTTAACAGAAACCCCTCAAAGAATCTTGGAATTGTGATTGTTTTTCACTTATTTGACAGCAAATAAGCAATTAATCCATATTTCATGGAGATGTAAGCATACTGTAAACTGGAGCTGCTTTGAAACATTGCTCAAGTACAGCTTCAACGTCCTCTCCATTTCAGACCCGCCACTCATGTTTCTCCTAATTAGTCTATTTGTGAGAAAAGGACGTCTGCGTTCCTCTTGTGCAGTTCAATTGTTCACTTTAACCTTATTTAACAGCCTTATTGACGCTACGTTATCTCAGCAGGTAAGAAGAGCCTCGGCGCTCTAAGTCGTCCACCAGCATCGGGAAAATCAGCCTGATTAATAAAACTGTTAACCCATAACAGCTGATCAATAGCAATCAACCGATTTGCACCTGCATGATCAATGAGGCGGGTTAATCCTGCGTGGTTAGAGAAGCAGAGAGGGTGGGGGGAGAGAGACAGCAGGTGGATGGTGAGGATGTCTCACTTCAAGATCGGTCAACTGGTAAATGAGCAAAACCGAAGATTCTCATTTGTGCTTCCGCCCACTTTTTAAGTAGCCACTGACATCTAACACATATGTGGGTGTGCACAAACACTCACACCTACGCATGCCTGGCCAAACGGCCCCCACTCACACACACACGCACGTGTGCACACACACACACACATGCATTATGAATGTCCTCGATTTTCCTACATGGATACTGTAAAACTTCTCAACATTTAAATAGCAGTTTGAGGCTTTACTTCAGATCAGAATGATTTAATGTCGTTTGCAATGTTCACAGATACGTTCACGATTAAACACACGCACACACACACACACACATATAACGCAGTGTCACTGGATGTCAAACAGGCAACTCTTGACGTGGAGTTTTATGATAAACTAACAAACAATAAAAGCGAAGCTCTCCGTTGTATCACTGTAACGAGCACGCTTGCGCACGGCTCTCAAACATTCAGAGGGATACACAGGATGCACACTCAAGGCAAATCACGCACACGCAGACACACACTCTGAGGGCGCTGAGCAGGGAGTATAAAAGGGGCATCCTTCCCACTCAGCGCAGAAGTACTCTCACTCTCACACACTCCTATAACGCGCTGAAGATCTTTTCTCAAGGTAAGCTTTATTTGCTTTGTAGCAGGTGATTTGAGGCTTTTATGAGGATTGTTAAACTGAGAATTTCCTTCTTTTTTATTATTCTTTTGTTTTCTTTATAATCATTTCAAAATTCAAACACAGAGTCTTTTCTAAAACAGACAAAAAGTGAGGTACAGAGGATAGAATCTGATATTTTTGTGCTAAGCTTTAATTCTTTGAAAGCTACACATGCTACCTCCTTATATATACAATTTGATTAATATGATTTGACACAAATTCATAAAACAAATTCCAGAGATGTTTCCCAAAATCAAAATGGACATTTTTGTCTGCAATAAAAATCAGGTCACTTCCACCTGGTGAAGCTGCATTCGTGATATCTACCCTCAGTTATCTAATGTGGCCAGAGTGTGTTGCGCGCGGGTGACTGTGTTAATATGTTAATATGCTGCCCTCATTAACGTGTTGAGTCAGAGTAATTTTTAGTTGTGAAGGAGCGCTTGTCTGGCAGATGGTCCAAGCTGTCGTTTCTCACTCTGGACTGCATCTCTGATTCCTTCTCATTAAACTTCTGTTTACTCCTCTCCCACCGCTCTCAGATGAATGCTGGGCTGTGTGTGTGTGTCGTGCTGGCAGTCCTGTGTGCGAGCTGTTTGGGGCTCCCCTTCTCCTCCCAGCCATTAGACGAGGGCCAGCGCCCCATCTCCGCTCTCTCTGAAGGTAAAGGTTGCGACACGTTTCTCGCCATCACAGTGAGTTTTTGTGCCTGACTCGTGCTTTTCTTGCCTGTTTTGAGCAGCTCTCCTTGAGGCTGACACCCACACCTTGGGAGATCTCCACCTCCGACACAGGCGCTCTGCCCCCCAGCTGAAAGCTCTTCCTCTGGCTGAGGAGGATGCAGACTCCCGGGCCAATCTCAGTGAGCTGCTCGCTAGACTCATCTCCTCCAGGAAAGGTGTGTTAGTGAGTGTGAGGAATGTGGATTTGGGTGGCATCCTTTCCATACCTGCAGCCTTAAATGATATATGTGTTTAGAGAAGTGTCTGTGTGCATGTGAGTGTGAAACGAAAAACATCTGGCAACAGTAGTATTTGGAGTGCAGTGCTTTTTCCTGCCTTCCCCCTCCCCTCAGTCATACTAATTACGGGAATTAGTGCACAACCAGCTTTGTAAAATGAATTAGTGGCTCTGAAAAGCTTTTGTGGTTTGAAAGAGCACGTATTAGTGTGTAGAGCCTTCCGGCCACTTGCCTCATACCATCTTATTTCACTTTTGTTTTCCCCCTATTTGACTTCACATCACTTTTTTTTCTTTTTTTTGCTAAGGAAACAAACCCTCGACCCTGTCGTAGATTATAACGTCCAGCACTCACGTCTCTCGGACAGCTGACCGGACAGGGGAAAACACACACACATGCACAGACACACTGTCAGAATCAGTCTTTTCCACTTGGCGTCCAGATACTGAAACTGGCTCCTTGCGTGTCTCTTTGTAGGACAGTTTGTACAGACTGAAACATTTTGCAGAGCTACAGATGGACAGTGAAATCTTTTATTTTGGCATCAGTGGCTTTAGTGAGAAATCTGGATTTTGTTTTTACCCCGTTCTTTAGCTCATTTTTTCAGCTTAAAACACAAATATGTATTTGAGTTACAGCTGTACTTTTACTTTGCTGTTGTGTAATATCGATTATAAAAGTTCCCCAGACTCAGAAAGCGTTGGGCCAGACAGTGAATACTCTAAAATGTCAGAGGGCGCTGTGAAACTCATATGTAATGCCTCGGGGAATGTGTGTTTCTGCTAATCGTGCGTGTGCGATTGTGGGTGTCTGTGCTCATGTGCATGCTGTTCACTTGCATGTTTTGGTGTGGGAGGTGTCGTTATCGAGTTTTTCTGCAGCCAATCTTCTCAGCACGCCAGGGAGTTGAAACGCAGTGTGTATGCATGTGCATGCCGCCGTGTGCGTGTGTGTGTGTGTTGTGTAGGAGGATGTGGGTGGGAAAAAAACTCCATCTCTGCGAGCGTGCAATTGATTACCAAATGGAGAGCAGTTCTGCTCCAGTTCACTTGGAACAGAAATCAAAAGATCGGAAGCAGACGTGTTCTACAAGATCTGTGTGTGTGTGTGTGTGTGTGTG